GTGTGTGTGTGTGTGTGTGTGTGTGCCCTTGGAGGGGATGATTTTTCAGGAAAATGCAGCCACGACTTCAGAGGCTAATTTTGGGTGTGGGAGTTGGATTTGGGACCAAGGTGCGAATTGAGTTTAGGTTAGTTTTAGGGTCAGGTGAGGTTAGCTTTAGAGAGAGAGAGAGAGAGTTGTCCATCTGCCCTTTGGAGACCTTCTGAAAATCCAACTATTTTGGGGACCAGTGTCCTAATGGACACCATCAAGCACCTTGAAGACTTCAGCAGCCCTGAACTAAAATAATCTGGTCTCTGGGTGAATGGGAGCGTAGATGTGTTGTTCCCTCGGAGAGGCTTCTGAACAGTGAGGCGGAGCGGCTCAMTTTAAGGCAGGGTCATGAACTCGGTGCTGTGTGACACTGAGCTGCTGTCACATGAGGGTAGGGCGGCCACCGCTGATGTTTTTGACAGCGGCTGTGGACAGAGAGACTGCTTGTCTCACGTAGTGGAAACATGTCCTCTTTAAATGAAACAGGCAGCTCTTTGTCCGACAAACACTCAGGTTTTCGGCACATTTTCCACACTCAGAGGCTGGGATTTCTTCGTGTTTTTTTTTCTTTCAAACCATATTTAGTTGATATTTAAGCCCCAAAAGCTGACTGCTTAAACCGCTCAAAACATTTAAATATTCTACGTTTTAGGTCACGTACTGAAGCTAATATCAAGCTACATTAAACAACTTTAACATCTGAACTAAAGTTTAATCAAGAAAACTGTTGTAGGAAAAACATATAGCAAATTTAAATGATCACCAGTTTATTTCCTTATGTCCACTTTGCTCTTATTCCTGTCAAAAACAACCTAAAATATTTTAAACACAAATAAGAAAAAAATGGAACTAAAAGTACAAGAAGGTATTTATTTTTGCAGAAGAATGCTGCAGCACAACTAACTAAAAAAAAGATGTGTTTATGGGTCAAAATCAAATGATCTGTAAGWAAATACCAAAATGGTTGAAAATCCATTGATTTACTGTAGAACTCAAAACAACAAATCATCAGACACAAGTCAGAGTTAGCAGTGAATGAAGTGAGTTAATTCAGTCTCTTTGTGTTCTTACATAAAGAGCAGTTTCATCATGAGAGCTCCTCTCACAATACAAACCAACTTCTATCACCAGCTGTAAAGCCTCYTATCAACAACCTAACATATTGCTTTAGATTAAAATACTGAATGGAAAATGCAGAGATTTTTTAATTTAAAGGAGACAGATTGTGCTTTTGAATCATTCTTTTTTTTTGCATTTAAATCATTTAGTTGGAATGATTTGGTCTGAATTTCTCCCTATTGTAACTCCACAAGCCCCTCTTTCACCTCTTCTCTGAGGTGTGTCTCAGATCAACTCATTTTAACGCTGTCCCTTTAAATCTAAATGAGGTGCTTCTTAAACAACCCCCCCCCCACCCCGCCCACTAATCTTCCAAACTGATCCATTCTTATTTTACGACTATATGGCGACATGGAAACATTTTATTTGAAAAATAATTATAAGATGTAAACAAGGGAAGTCTTGTCCATCCAGTCCCTGACCCAGAGCCAGAGGAGAATGAAGATGAAGTTATAGTTGGTAAGTCCAGACCTTATTTGGTTGTTCCGTCGTAAACTCTGTGACATAATAGTTCATAAATTGTTATAGAAAAATAGATAAAACAGAACAGGTTGAAAAATACAACTCAAATACAATATAAAGATATCTACAGAGTAGATATGTAGAAACTAAGTTCAATTTTTTGCAGTCCTAGTGACTCCAAGTACACAACAAAATGCATTTAATGGTTAAAAAATGGATTTTGRGTGATATGTCCCTTTTTAAAAGGAAAACTTAAGTTGTGCAAACCTCGTTCAAAAATGTTGTTGATTTCCTTTTTTTTTATCTACCTGAACTCTTTTATATGTCATAATTAGACCTGGTGGAAGAATAGTGGCAGTTTTTTTTTTTAAAGTACAGATCATTTCTCTACATGGAATGACTATTTTGTTGTTTTTAGTGAGAAATCCTCTGCTTTCAACAGAAAACACTTAAGACAATGGACTAACAACAGAGCAATGTTTGCTGAAGTAAACAWAGGTCACATGAGAGGCTGATGTAAGCTGAACGGGCTCTTCATGCATGGCTTGCTGCACGTCTGATAGCCACTCCTCCAAACATTCCTCCAGATCAGAGCATCAAGACTTGTGCTAACTGTGTGAGTTTGGCACKGGAGCACACTTTGTTCAGAACGGGAGGTGCTGGAAGGTGAAAATGTCTGACTCACCTTGTCTTCACATGTCTTGTGTACCGCAGTCTTGCACTCTGTAAACAAACGGAGGGGCTAGTTTAGTTTTTTTWAAAAATCAGCTTTAAGATCCAGMCAGACAGACAGGGRGAGCTTGTTTGRGTGTGCATCAGCTTTAATCCTGGGCCTGTGACCTGACCTGACCTGACCTGACCTGACCCGACCTGACCCGGACTCACCCTTGCAGAAAGCTCCGGGGCTGTCCATGCCCTGCTTGCACACATCGCACACCTGTCGCTTCTTGAAGCTCCTGGCGGTGAAGGTGTGGCTCCCTGACTTGTTGAGCTGCAGAGACACAAAAGAAGGTCCGTTCTGATCACTGCGACCAACCACAGAAACCAAACAACAACTGAAAACACACGTGTTGTGGAAACGTTCTGCCTGTGCACGTAGGATGCGTTAAGGTTTAGCAGTTTCCTTGTCGTTTCCTCAGGCGATCGGCCCCCTGCGCTGCTGTTGTCAGTACAGATGTGTGCTGTTTCTGTGACAAACCAGCAGGAAAACAGACACCCCGTGGTTCATTCAGCCTCCTGGACTAAAAAAGAAAATCTGTTCTGATACATTGTCTTTCAGATTGCTCTTATTCTGTCTCAGACTTGCGGGCATCTCTGAGGATGAAAGTGAGGAGCTTCTTGTGCTGCTGGTTGTAATATTTGATTTTGCACAGGGAGACATGGAACAGGCCCATGAATATATTAATGTCACATATGTTCATTGTTTGGCTCATTTATCTGATGCTATTAGCTTTATTCAGGTAATTCTTTTKTGCCTTCAGGTTCAGCTAAGTGGAGGTTTTCCCTTCTATTGACGCTAACAGGTGGTGAAACACTGGGCAGTCATGGCAGCTGTGTAAATACATGAGCTTCATGGGGGCAAAACAAAAGGTAAGTTCAACACAGGCGAACTCATTCTAACAGTGTAGGTTGGGAATAAAATCAAAACGATGTCCTCTCAAGGAAACACAGCCGTTTGACAACTTGTGAAGCAAATGAAACCWTATTTTTCCGGAAGGAGAGGCGAAGTAAGGGTTTGGAAACATCAGGAGGCAGATGTGAATGTGTTGGAGAAAAAAAACACTGCATACACACACGCACGCACACATGTTTGTTTCTTGACCCCGTGGGGACCTTCCATTGACTTCTATTCATGTTTTTTTTTAGCCTTTATAGCCTAACCCTGACCATATACTCTAAAATTAACCTCACAGGTACCTACCTAACCTTAAAACTAACCTAAACCTAACCTCACACCCCTAACATGCCCACGATTCACTTCGGTCCCCACAAGGCTGCTTTTTTTGGTAAAAAATTCCACACGTTGTAGGAAAAACCCGTGTACACACACACACACACACACACACACACACACACGCACACGCACACACACATGCACACACACACACGGACTCGTGCATTTCTTTGGTCCTGAAAAGCCCTCACTCAGCCGTGGTATTTTTAGCTCTCACTGATGTCTGCTTAAGTTTAATAAACACTTAATAAACACTTTATATTTAAATTCCAACAGAAGTTACAAAATAATCTTGACATCCACACAAACCAGTTTTTTGAGATTTAGGACACATTGTTTGTTTTTACAATCCTCAAAGATAATCAGTTCCTCTATGTGTAAAGAAAGAGTTGTGTCTCGTGTTTGGACTGTAACGCCTTCATGACTAGTTGTGTGTAATTAATATTTTACACAACCCTGCCCTGAGCTTTGTTACATTACGTAATACTGTATAACTTCTCAACCCTTAAAAAAACAGCTGCACTTTCTATGTTAGATGAAATATTTAAAGAAGAACAGACTCAAGAAAAAGGACAGACAGAAAAAGCAGAGAGACACATTAAAATTAAATAAGAAACAAAAAACTAAATAAAAAGATCAGACAGATATATAAAGAAGACAAAAAGMAAGCTTAAGGAGAATGAGATCACAGATTCAGGCAGTCAAAATGAATATTTTGTGCGGTGTTGGACTCCCTGTTAGAGATGAGGGTGAAGTTCAACCATGGYAGAGACTGGCAGCGCTGCTCCTCCACACTGATCACATCTAAAGATGGTCCCTGGACGCCTCCCTGGGGAGGTTTTCAGGACATGTCTGACTGGTAGGAGACCCTGGAGAAGACCTCGTCTGGCCTGGAAACACCYTTGAATCCTCCCAGAAGAGCTGGAACAGGTGGCTGTAGAAAGAGAGGTCTGSACCTCCCTGATCAAGCTGCAGCCCCCGCAACTCCAGAAGAGTGAGAGGCAAAGGATGGACGGAATAATCTGAATAAATTAATATMTCAAAAAGTATCAAAGTTAGGAAGAAGAAAGTTTGCAGCTGTTCTGTCCTGAAACAGCTGAACGTTTTAATAAAACTGAAAGTAAGCTGAAGTATTTCAAGTCCAAAACTGTACAGAAGAGTAAAACTTTTGTGTGAAAATTGATTCAGTATTCATACTGTCATATTGTTGCCATTTTTTTCTCTTCATCAATTCCTAAGAGAAATATCTGACTCTGCGGCTGATAAATATCAACAGAGCCTCACAGGTTTGTCGATTGTCACAAAATGTAATTTATTGATTCCAGTCCATGGACATGACATTTGTCTTTCTGCATAGGCAAAAACACACAAACACACACTCAGAAAGTGTTTCCAGCATCTGTAATAAGATGAATGGGTTTGTCTCCCATCTGCTGTTTTCTACTTCACACAGTATTGTAGTTTATTTGAAGTTTTTCTTCCTTTCTGTTTTTTTTATTTAGAATTATTTTTTCTCAACTCGTCAGTTTTAAACGTCTCATCTTCATTAGGTTAAAGCAGGTATTTGAGACAATATTTAAAAATAATTTTTACTTTAAACAAACACTTTCAAAGTTAAACATCACTAGATATTGTTACTGCATTGCTTTACAGTCCTCTACAGACATAAGAAGGAAAGGAAAAAAAGGGCCATCAAAATGCACCTTTTCCACAAACTTGAGATCTAAACAATAGTTAGCTTTAAGACAACAGATTGTATAAAAGTTAACATTTTTATAAATAAAATCTGTTTTATCACATGCTTTCACTTTTGAAGAGCTCAATGTATTCAGTGTCATATTAAGACGCTGCAAACTGGTGTTAGTAAATCAGAGCGATTTAAAACTTACAACTCAAGAGGTCCCCCCAGTGGACAAYCCTAGGTACTGCCTTACCCTGAAATTAAAAATGCTCGGAATTTATTTTGGTCAAATTAACAAATTTTGTTATTGTCAAACTTAATGTTAAATTCCAAAGCAGAGGGAGTTTTTATCACAATACTGGGGTCTTTGTGTTAGTTTTTGGTTCTCGAGGTGATTACTGTTTTTTTTTAAAGTCCAGCATAGTTTTGGTCATTCTGTTTTATTTTTGTTCTTCTAATATTAATATCTACCAGATGTTTTAGTGCTCCACACACCTGTCTTTGATCTGTGTTCCTCAGTTTTTATCACATCGTCTGCTATGATCATCTTTGGATATAACCAATTTGCTTTGATTGTTTGCTAATGTTCCAAGTTTGCTCTAGGTTTGCTCTAGGTTTGCTCTAAGTTTGCTCTAAGTTTGCTCTAAGTTTGCTCTAGGTTTGCTCTAGGTTTGCCACCTGCATTTAGGTCCTTTCATCCACTCACATATTGGCTTCAGTGAAATCCATTTCCTGTGGGCTAAAAATCTGGAATTTGACTCATTCAGGGCTTAAAAATCAAGCAGACCTGTGTGTGTTTGTCTGTTACCAAAATATCTCATGAAACAAAGTAATCAATGAATGCTCAGAGAGATCTTTTTCAAAACTGAGGCCTACAGCCAACATACTTAAAAACACACAAAAATGGCTATAACTCTGTCATTTGTATAGATATTGAGCCAAAGTTTGCTGTGGTAGCAGCTGGGAGTCATTCCCAACACAAACCCTGAGCGTGACATTTCCCAGTATTACATGACYTTACTTTAAAGGTTTGATAAAACCAGTTCCAACTCTCAACACAGAATGACCTTAATCTAAAAGTCTCAAATAAAATGTAATACTCTCTGTGCTTAAACTTCATCTCTCTTCTTTTTATGTTAGTTTGTTTCAGAAAAAGGATGATGCAAGCAGAACAGGAGGACACTTCTTACAACAGAGTCAAACAGCTGCAAACTGTTGGTTCATGTTTTCTCCTCTAAGCTTTCAGCTACCAGCAACACAAAAACATCTCTGAGTGGACCTTCAGACCCCAGAAGCTCCCAGGAGTGCCAGCAGAGTTGCGTTATTGCATAGCAGAATAAAGGAACCCCACCCAGTTTCTCGCTTTTCCTTTTTTCTTTCTTATTTTTTTCTTTTTTCTTTTTTTTGTTACATGTTGTGTCATCCTCCAAGCATCTCTGATCGCCAACAAGAGCGAGGCCGAAGTTCTCCATCTAACGTGAGGCTGAACGGAGACGGTAGGCAACAATAAGCTGCTGCACAAAGGATTTTTTTGTTTCTGGAGGAGAGCAGCAAACTGTTAATAATTTGTACWTTGATTGATTTATATTTATACTTTATACATACAGATGTGTTTGTCTGTCAGTCCAGGTGAAACGATATGTTGTATGTGCGCACAAAAACACACAGAGACCTCAGTATGTCCTTGAACTTCAACATACAGTCACACATAAACAGTAACACACACTAACACACACACACAGGTTCACCCAGCTATCTAATAGGGGACATTCCATTGACTTCCATTACATTTCTACAGCCTAACCCTGACCACAAACCCTAAGGCTAACCTCACAGGAACATACCTGACCCTAAAACTAACCTAAACTCAATTCACACCTTGGTCCTAAACCCAAGCCCCAACCCACCAATGGCATTTAAACCAAATGGGGACTCAACTTAGGTCCCCAAATGCACCAGTTGTCCCCAAATGTAGACATTTTGTCTTAAAATTGTCCCCAAATGTCACCAAAAACAACACCCCTCCCACACACACACACACACCGGTAACACTAAATACTTCATTGCCTTTTTCAGTGGCATCTCACCTCACAAGTGATGACATGCTGGGGACCAGGAGTCACAACTGTATGCACACACACACACACACACACACGCACGCACATACAGACCACTCAGGAAGGGACGGGAGCAGGTGGTGGGCCAGCGGTACGCTCCAGTTCTGGGTGGGTATTTATAAACCCGTGTGAGTCGGGGTCGTCACCTCTAAACTGCCATGAAAATGCTGAAAATAGGTGCAGGAAGGACAGTGTGTGTGTGTGTGTGTGTGTGTGTGTGTGTGTGTGTGTGTGTGTGTGTGTGTGTGTGTGTGTGTGTGTGT